GGAGGTTGCTGTGAGCTGTAATGCCACGGCACTCTGCCCAGGGGGACAGCTTGAGGCTCTGTCTCAAAAAAAAAAAAAAAAAAAAAAGAAATAAATACATGAAGGTCTTCCTGAGAGAACAGTCAAATAAGTCAGCCAAAATAGAAGACAAACTTCCCCCTTTTTAAATAGAGAAGGATCTATATTTCTAACTGACAGTTCCAAATAGAATCCCTTCACCCAAAACCTACTGCTACCAAGAAACTCAGGTGCATATAGGCCCCATGTGAAACATTTCTGCACTAACCCAGCTACGCTTGGGAGATCAGATGGCTGTGTGGCTGCCACCTGCTTGTGGAGAAAATAATGTGATCAGAGCAACAAACACTTTCATTAGATAGGCTAATACCTTGGTCTTCTAGACCACTGAGAATAATTAAGTGTGGGTATAACTGCAACAAAATTACCATGTCATATGTGAATTACAGTGTAACTTTCACATGGAATGAATCCATAAAGCTGCCTTCATTGCTCTAAAGTGACACTGGAGATGTTCACACTGACAAAACATAGGAGGCCTCAAATCCAGTAATCAAGAAAAATGAAGGCTCAGCGCCTACAGCTCAAGTGGCTAGAGTGCCAGCCACATACACTGGAGCTGGAGGGTTTGAATCCATCCCAGGCCTACCAAACAACAACTATAACCAAAAAATAGCCAGGCGTTGTGGCAGGCGCCTGTAGTCCCAGCTACTTGGGAGGCTGAGGCAAGAGGATCGCTTAAGCCCAAGAGTTTAAGGTTGCTGTGAGTTGTGATGCCACGGAACTATACCCAGGGTGACAGCTTGAGACTCTGTCTCAAAAAAAAGAAAAAGAAAGGAAACATAAAATTGGGTGGTGCCCGTGGCTCAGTTGGTAGGGTGCCGGCCTCATATACGGAGGGTGGCAGGTTCAAACCTGGCCCCAGCCAAACTGCAACAACAACAACAAAAAAATAGGGTCAGCGCCTGTGGCTCAAGTGGCTAAGGCACCAGCCACATACACCTAAGGTGGCAGGTTCGAATCCAGCCTAGGCCCGCCAAAAACAACAATAACGGCTGCAACCAAAAATAGCCGGGTGTTGTGGTGGGTGCCTGTGGTCCCAGCTCCTTAGGAGGCTGAGGCAGGAGACTTGCTTGAGCCCAGGAGTTGGAGGTTGCTGTGAGCTGTGATGCCACAGCACTCTACCCAGGGCGACAGCTTGAGGCTCTGTCTCAACAACAAAAAAAATAGCTGAGTGTTGTGGCCAGCACCTGTCATCCCAACTATTTGGGCAGTTGAGACCAGAGAATAACCTAAGCCCAGGAGTTGGAGGTTGCTATGAGCTGTGATGCCATGGCACTCACCAAGGATAATTAAGTGAGACTCTAGTCTCTAAAAAAAAAAAGAAAGAAAGAAAGAAAAATGAAATTTCAGGCCAGGCACAGTGGCTCACTCTAGGAGGCCACAGCATGTGGACTGCTTGAGCTCAGGAGTTTGAAATCAGCCTGAGCAAGAGTGAGATCCTGTCTCTACTAAAAATAAAAACACTAGCTGGGCATGGTGGTGAGTGCCTGTAGGCCCAGTTATTCAGGAGGCTGAGGCAGGAGGATCATTTGAGATTGCTATGAGCTATGATACCATGGCACTCTACCCAGAGTAACAGTGAGACTCTGTCTCAAAATATATATATATATAAAATAAATAAAATAAAAGTAAAATTTCAATAACATACAAAACTGTTTTTTGATCAGCTGGGCATAGTGGCTTGTGCCTGTAGTCCCAGCTACTTGGGAGGCTGGGGTGGGAGGATCACTTGAGGCCAGGAATAACCAGCCTAAGCAACATAGCAACATAAGATCCTGTCCCAAAAATAAATATATAGAAACCAACTTTGTTTTCATAGAGAAATCTTTTGAATCCATGTTCCATGAAGGTTGTGATCAGGGTGGTACCTGTGGTTCAGTGAGTGAGTTGTCAGCCCCATATACCAAGGGTGGTGAGTTCAAACCCAGCCCTGGCCAAAGCGCAACAACAACAACAAAATAAGTAAATAAATAAACAAACAAACTTAGTTAAAAAAAAATAAAGTTGCAATCATATCTGTCTCTTTTCAAACATACTCCAATTTCTGGGCCCAAATTTCAAAAAGATAAGACATAGTAAAGGGATAAAATAAGTAAATAAATAAACAAACAAACTTAGTTAAAAAAAAAAATAAAGTTGCAATCATATCTGTCTCTTTTCAAACATACTCCAATTTCTGGGCCCAAATTTCAAAAAGATAAGACATAGTAAAGGGATAAAATAATCTTTACCTAAGGAGGCCAGGTTCTTACAGGTTTCCAGCATCACATCTCTGTAGAGGTTCTTCTGAGCACAATCCAGCAAAGCCCACTCTTCTGGGGTAAAGTTCACAGCCACATCCTCAAAGACCAGTGAGTCCTAAAACATCCCACATATTCTATTTCAGTCAGGCACTGTCTGCACCCATGTGTACAGGGGAATGGATGAGGCTGACAGTCTGAGGAATGGGACTCAATTCACAGGAACCCTGAGCCACGTGGACCATACATTCTTATGAGAGATGACAAATAATATTCAAAACAATGCAATACACTCAGTGATGGTAAATGTTCTGGGAACTTAACATTAATGATAACAACTGGTATAGACTTATAATTACAAAGATAGGGCAGGCTAAAAACTAAAAAATGAAATCATCATTCAAATAACATGGAAATTGACACATGGCTAGCTCAAAATTTATTATTTCTTTTTCATTTGTTTTTGAGACACAGTCTTTGTCGCCCTCAGTAGAGTTCCGTGGTGTCACAGCTCACAGCAACCTCAAACTCTTGGGCTTAAGCAATTCTCTTGCCTCAGCTTCCCAAGTAGCTGGGACTACAGACGCCCAACACAACACCTGGCTATTTTTTTTTGCAGTTGTCATTGTTGGTTAGCTGGCCCAGGCTGGATTCGAACCCACCACCATAGGTGTATGTGGCTGATGCTGTAACCACTGTGCTACGGGCACCAAGCCAAAATTTATTATTTCTTTTTCAGGTCAAAGAACTGGTACCAGGATGTCAGGATGCTGCAAATACTTAGGGTAGATTTTCAATGCTGCTTGATTTGAACTCCTACCTCAGAAGGCAACAGAGTCAATGAATCTGATCTAGGCCCATCACACCTATTCAAGCAGAGACATCCTCCAGAAAGAGGTAAACACTATGGACAGACATGTAGCCAGGGCCCTGGGGCCTGGCAACACCTGTTCAGTAAGAACAGAACCTGACTCCTAAAGAATTTATCAAGCCAGCAGGGTCACTGAAATAAATAACCAAGTGTCTAGAATGAATGGAAACTGGCACCACAAAATTCCTCACTTTGTTGTGTTCTAGAATGGGACACTGAAAGGACCTACCCTTTCCATATAACTTAAGTAAGACTCACACAGGTGACAAGGTCAGACTTAGACCCTCCATCCCCACTCATAGTTAAACTCTGAATTAAACTTCCCTCCTTCCTCCAGGCACCTGCAGTCCCCATCCTGAGCCAGATGGCAGCCCTGTTGAAAATGACATCAGAGCAAAACATTCTCTGCCTACTGCTGGTTCTTATTCACGCCCCTCCATAAAAGAAAAATCCTTTTATCCAACTCTTCAGATGCCTGCAGACCGAGTCCTCCTATTGCAGTTGTTTCCCTGCCATTCCATCTTTAGTCCCCCAGCCCAATAGCAACTATGCCCCTCCCCCCTTACATTTTCTTCCCACCTCATTGCAACAGTTCCCCAACCCTATTGCATTACTATCCCTGCCCTATTGCAATAGGATGCTAACACCAAGCATCTGCCCCCTCACCTATTATAGCAGTAGTCTCTTCTCTCTCCACCCTTGATATCTTACAATAATCCTTTTTATTTTTATTTATTTATTTGGAGACAGAGTCTCACTATATTGTCCTCCATAGAGTGCTATGGCATCACAGCTCACAGTAACCCCAAACTCTCCGGCTCGTGCTATTCTCTTGCCTCAGCCTCCCAAGTAGCTGGGACTACAGGTGCCGGCCACAAAGCCTGGCTATTTTTTTGTTGTTGTTGTTGTTGCAGTTGTTTAGCTGGCCTGGGCCAGGTTCAAACCCACCACTTCGGTGTATGTGGCTGGCACCATAACCACTGTGCTACAAACGCTTTTATTTATTTTTAAATAAAAGTCTCTTCTTTTTTTTTAAAGACAGAGTCTCACTTTATTGCCCTGAGTAGAGTGCTGTGGCACCACAGCCCACAGCAACCTCCAACTCCTGGGCTTAGGTGATTCTCTTGCCTCAGCCTCCCGAGTATCTGGGACTACAGGCACCAGCCACAATGCCCAGCTATTTTATTGTTCTTGTTGCTGCAGTTTGGCCAGGGCTGGGTTCAAACCTGCCACCCCTGGTATATGGGGCCAGCGCCCCATCCACTAAGCCGCAGGCGTGGCCCAAAAGTCTCTTCTTACTATGTTTGGACTTTTCATTTAATACAGGCTTGACCACGTGTTCACAGTGTCCAATTTCTTCCCAATTTTTACTTAGCTTTCTGTCCCCACCACAGACCTTGATCTTTGGGTGTACCCCTGAATCTGAGCAAGCCCTAAAATGTAAAACTAAGGCTGGGTGCGGTGGCTTTCGCCTATAATCCCAGCACTCTGGGAGGTCAAGTGAGTGGATTGCTTGAGCTCAGGAGTTGGAGACCAGCCTAAGCAAGAGCTAGACTGTTTCTTAAAAAAGTAGCCGGGTGTTGTGATAAGCACCTGTAGTCCCAGTTACTGGGGAGACTGAGGCAAGATAATCAGTTGAGCCCAAGAGTTTGAGGTTGCTGTGAGCTATGACTCCATGGCACTGTACGCAGGGTGACCAAATGAGACTCGGTCTCAAATAAAAAAAAAAAAATAAAACCACACAATCCCCTCCCCAGTCACCTGACCCGGAGTTGGAAGGCCATGGGAGGCACATTTGCTGTCAGCTACCCCTCATCTTCCCCTCAGAATTCCTCTCCAGCCTTCCTTGTGCCTAAGTCAAGCCTTTCCCTGTTTAATGCTGAGAGGCCGTAGGCTTCTGAGATGGAGCTTGTCCCTTTTCAACCGTCTTTGTGATAGTCTCTCCTCCTCCAACCTGGATCTGACTGTATTTGACAAGCTCCAGGGTGGGTCATCACTTCAGCCGCCATCACTGGGGTCGTCCAGGGGTCGTCCCGCTAGCTTCTCAGCCTTCCCGGGCTCTGCTCCTGGCCCCGCGCACTCACCATTTCCTGGCCCAACTCCTGGGCTATCTGGGTCAAGCTCCCTGCGTCCCGCGACAGGTACTGGTGAGCACACGGGGGACGGAACACTGGACTGCTCGTGGAAGGAGGGGATGCCCAGCCGGGAGGATGGCAACAGCCCATTGTCGGAAACTGATTGGACCGAGGTAAGGGCTGCGGCACCCTGATTGGATGGTGCTACGGACATTAGTGCCCCTGATTGATCAGCTCTCCAGTCCCCGTACCCGAGGTTTCCTTGATTGGGCAGTGCCGCACTTGGACTTAGTGTCCCTCAAAGGATAGTTCTCTGGGCCTCGCCCCAGTTCTCCAGAGTGATTTTTCACCAAGCACAGTCTTTAACTTCCCGATTGGATGACTGGATAGTTCTCTAGACCCACCCCCTGCAGCCTGAATGACAGGCACCTCGTGAACTCCTGTGGCAGATTCACTCAGGCAGAGGCCATAGCACCTGGGTGAACTTGCTATAGACGCCGGCCCCTTCCCACAGTCACCTCAGTCTACCTCTTTAGCGGCCTCCTCCCAAATGGGAATGTAGACTCCAGACTCAGTTTCCCCACCCAAAGACACTAGTCTGGGGCAGGAGGAGCCAGGGCGGTAGGGGGCAGCCTGGGGTTCAGCGGGGTCTGGTGGGCCTGGGCTGCGAAGTCCCGGAGCTCAGAGCCTCAGACTAGCCCCTTTAGCATGACGTCACTACATCAGCTTCTAGTGGAGGGCTAACACCCGTCTCTGCAGAAGCCCCGACCAGCCTACGCCAGGTAAAACTGCTCAAGACTGGAAAGAGTTGCCCAGGGAACAGGACGCCACTAGACCTGAGATGTGTTATTTAAAGTGCTCCTGTACATTTGACACTGGAAGAAAAAACTCTTTTAGGCCCATTTTCCAGATTTCCTTAGAGAATGTTAACATGTAAAAGGGTGTAATATTTCCGAGGCAATTTTTTTTAGTTTCATCTTTCGCCCTGGGTAATGTGACATCATAGCTCAACGCAACCTCACACTCTCCGGCTCAAGGGATCCTCTTGCTTCAGCCTCCCAAGTAGCTGATACAGGTGCCCTAGCTTTTCCATTTTTCAGTAGAGACGGCATTTTCCTCTTGCTCAGGCTGGTCTCCCAACTCCTGAGCCCAGGTGATCCACCCACCTCAGCCTCCCAGAGTGGTGGGATTACAGGCATAAGCTACCATGCAGGGCTTCTTATTTTAACTGATTTAATATAAAATAATAAAAAATTATGGGCCTCCTAGCACTCTGGGGGGCCCAGGCAGGAGGATCACCAAGTGATTGAGACTAGCCTGAGCAAAGTGCCCAGCATCTACTAAAAAAGAAATTTTTAAAAAATTAAGAGCCTAGGCTCGGCACCTGTGGCTCAAGTGGCTAAGGCACCAGCCATATACACCTAAGGTGGCGGGTTCGAATCCAGCCTGGGCCCACCAAACAACAATGAAGGCTGCAACCAAAAAATAACCTTGTGGCAGGCGCCTATGGTCCCAGCTACTTGGGAGGCTGAGGCAGGAGACTCGCTTGAGCCCAGGAGTTGAAGGTTGCTGTGAGCTGGGATGTCAAGGTACTCTATCCAGGGGGGACAGCTTGAGGCTCTGTCTCAAAAAAAAAAAATTAAGAGCCTAAATAACTTTGGGTTGGATCTGAAATCTTTTTTGGTTTCATTTACTTATTTTGAGACAGATTCTTGCTCTGTTGCCAGAGCTAGAATGAGTGCAGTGGTATCATCATAGCTCACTGACCTCACTGCAGCCTCAAACTCCTGGCCTCAAGCAATCCTCTTGCCTCAGCCTCCAGAGTAACTGGGACTATAGACTCGAAACAGGTAATTTTTCTATTTTTATGTAGAGATGCACATTTCACTACATTGCACAGCCTGGTCTCAATCTCCTGGTCAAATGGTTCTCCTGGCCAGGTCCGATGGCTCAGTCTATAATACTAGCACTCTGGGAGGCGGAGGCAGGTGGATTAATTGAGCTCACAGGTTAGAGACCAGCCTGAGCCAGAGGAAGACCCCACCCGTAAAAATAGCTGGGTGTTGGGGCATGCTCCTATAGTCCCAGCTACTCAGGAGACGGAGGGAAGAGAATCACTTGAGCCCAAAAGTCTGAGATTGTGGTGAGCTATGATGCCACAACACTCTACCATGGGTGACAAAGTGAGACTCTGTGTCAAAAAAAAAAAAAAAATTCTCCTGCCTGAGCCTCACAAAGTGCTGGGATTACAGGCATGAATGAATGAAATCTGGTGAAAGAGCAGGTATAACTCGAATAGGGAACCCTGGAGAAGAACCAAACTAGGTCTTAAGAATTGCACATGAGCCAGTGTGATGGGTCACGTCTGTAATCCTAGCCCTCTGGGAGGCCGAGGCGGGTGGATTGCTTGAGCTTACAAGTTCGAGACCAGCCTAAGCAAAAGCAAGACCCCATCTCTACTAAAAATAGAAAAACTGAGGCAAGAGGATGGCTTGACCCCTAGTAGGAGGTTGCTGTGAGCTATGATGCTATGGCACTCTACCTAGGATGAAAGCTTGAACCTCTGTATAAAAAAAAAAAATTGCACATATAATGGCACATACTTATCATGGTCACTATATCTTACCATATCAACCTGAAAATGTCATCAGTTGGACAGGCAGCCACACTTCATTGGGAAAATGAGTTTTCTCTTTGTTTATATGCTCTTCACTAATAAGCTGGTACAGTAATAAATATGTGAGACCTTAAAAAAAAACACATAAAACGTAACATACACATTAAGAAAACTCTACATAAACATGGACTAGAAGATTACATGTCAAATTAGAAAAATTGGCCATCTCTGGGAAGGGAGGGTGAAATACGGCTGCTCTGTTTTACAAACACGTGCAACAAATACGACTAAATGTTTATAATTGTGTATTATTTCTAAACTTGATATTATTTCCTTACAAAGCAAATTTGGCAATGGTTTAACTGCCTTATTGAGAAAATTAAGGAATTAACTTGGATTGAAAAATCATTTCTGCATGCAAAGTCACAAATAAGGCTCAGCGCCCATAGCACAGTGGTTATGGCATCAGCCACATACATCGAGACTGATGGGTTCGAACTTGGCCTGGGCCAGCTAAACAATAATGACAACTGCAAAAAAAATAGCCGGGCGTTATGGCAGGAGCCCATAGTCCCAGCTACTTTGGGAGGCTGAGGCAAGAGAATGCCTTGAACCCAGGAGTTTGAGGTTGCTGTGAGCTGTGACACCATGGTACTCTACCCAGGGCGACAGCTTGAGACTGTCTCAAAAAAAAAAAAAAAAAGTCACCAATAACACAATAACAATACCAGTTATCTAATACCTACCTACTCTGTACCATGTACAGGGTTTCTCAAAGCCAGTACTTTTAGACACAGTACTGGATAATTCTAACTGGAAAGCTGATCTGTTCTTTGTGGGGTGTTGAGCAGCATCCCTGATCTTCACACCTGTCAGTGGCAAGAACCAAAAATGTCCCCAGACATTGTCAAGTGTCCCCTGGGGATAAAATCACCTCCCCCTTCCCCAGTAGGGGGAATCACTGCTGTAGACCCTTTTATATTACAATCTTTTCTTCAAAGTCCATAGTCATAACTGGTCAAAACATCTGTAACTCTGCTGTCTCTCCTTTAGGGCTCTAAGATATTTATTTAAGGATGATGGTCACCATTATGTGCTCACAATAATAATCACACTCATTACTTGACAAATGTTATTTTCTTTCCTTTTATAATTGTGGAAACTGAAGCAGTGGAAACTTAACTTCCTCCAATTAAGCTTTGGGGCTCAGCTGAGCCAGAAGCCTCCATCCATACACAAGATATGAGCAAGACACTTAACACAATAACTAAGAAAATGACATGAAGGCTATGTTAACCAGTTTGATGAAAATATTTCAGATTGTATATAGAACCAGCGCACTGTACCCGGTGACTGCATTAATGTACCCAGCTATGATTTAATTAAAAAAAAAAAAAAGATATGAGCAAGACAGTAATAATCACCTGTGAATGAGGTGCATCTGCCTGGACATTCATCAGGCTGAAAGACAGACGCAGATAATGCCACCTGTAAAATTAACAATAAACAGTATTTCCTCCAAAGCCACCTTTCTCTGAGCCATCACCGTCTTCTGATTTGCTAAAATCTCTGCCCAGCAAAATCAGAGCCTGTGGCTCGGCGCCTATAGCTCAACCGGCTAAGGCGCCAGCCACGTACACCTAAGGTGGCGGGTTCGAATCCCCAGCCTGGACATGCCAAAAACAATGACGGCTGCAACCAAAAAAAAAAAAAAAAATAGCCGGGCGTTGTGGTGGGCGCCTGTGGTCCCAGCTACTTGGGAGGCGGAGGCAGGAGACTCGCTTGAGCCCAGGAGTTGGAGGTTGCTGTGAGCTGTAATGCCACAGCACTCTACCCAGGGGGACAGCTTGAGGCTCTGTCTCAAAAAAAAAAAAAATCAGAGCCTGTGGTTGAAATTTTATCAGTAAAAACTTCTCTTTCTTGCCTGTAGGATCTGATTCCCTTGAACAAAGAGAAACCAGCTCTATTTCCAACATAGGTACAGGGCTCTGATAAGGGGGTTTCTGGACACAACAATGCACAGCTATCTTATCTTGTGGTTCCCAAGGAAACGGGAATTGGGTCCACTTAGGAATCCAGACCTGAGGTTGATCCCTTTGCACAACTGCCCTGACTTGCTCTGAGACAATGGAAACTAGGCTGCATTTAAATCCCACCTAAACTCCACCCTTCCCCAAAAAATCCTATGGTGGGACCGCCACGGAACCGAAGGTCTACGGTGTCAAAACGCCTGGTGCCCCCAAACAAGATCCCTGAGGCTCTACCCGGGTCCACCCGCCTCCGGAGCCACCTTCCTGGGGCGTGGACTGGGAAATCCGCTATTAGAACGAGCCCGCCCCCTCCCCTTTGAACTCCATCCCAGTCCTTTGGCCCACCCAAGCATCACCCGCCCCTCGCTTAGCCCTGGACAACGAAGAAACTCGGGGTCAGGTCCTCCGTTGGACAGAAAAGAAACCGCCCTCAGGAGGCGGTACGACCCGTTCGGGGCGATACCGGCCGTGGGCCGCGAACGGGTACTTCCTCTTCCGGGTCTACCAGAGCGGAAAAGCGAGGTGGCCCCAGGCTTTGGGATTGGTGGAACCTCAAAGGTGGACAGATTGGCAGAGTCCTCCAATCGTTGAGCAGTAAACGCTAGTCCGATCCGCCCCCTTAGGGCGTGTACTCGGCCAGTTCCGCGCTACCGGCGGATTTGGAGCCTCCTGCCCCGGAGTTTGGCCTCAGTCTCTGGCTTCAGTCCTACGACCCGATTACCCTGATAAACAATAAATGATAAAATACGCAATAAATGCTTACTTCCTCTAACAATTTCCTAATGCTAACATAGGCCTATATAAAGATATTCCCCCGTTGTTGGTTTTTTCCTTCCTCGAGTGTCTCTTGTTTATTCCTCAAATGGGGTCGTATTTAATGCTTTTTTCTACACTAGCCTTTTCTTACTATTGAAAGCGTTGTGATATTACGTCCTGGCCACCAGAGGACTCCGCAGATCACATTTTTTCCGTTTGGGACTATTTTGTTGCGCCTTCGGATGAATCTGGAAAAATTCAGGAGGTAGAAGGGTTGGCCTTCCAACCCTGTCACCCGGTCCCCAGAGACAAACAGTATCTGTATCTGTTGATAACCTTGGGTAACCTTCCAAGGACGTTCTTTGTGTACATAAGGAGAAATGTGTGTCTATTCTTCAATACTCATTAAACCCCCACTGATGTTCTAGACTCTGTTCTTTGTACCGGGGTGATACAGCAGTAAACAGGACACAAAAATCTTAATCCTCAATGGGCGCCCGCCATATGCACCAGAGCTGGTGGGTTCAAATCCAACCTGGGCCTGCCAAACAACAAGGACAACTACAAACAAAAAAAAACAGTTGGTGTTGTGGCAGGCGCCTGTAGTCTCAACGGCTTAAGCCCAAGAGTTTGAGGTTGCTGTGAGCTGTGATGTCACAGCACTCTACCGACGGCAACATAGGAAGACGCTGTCTCAAAAAAAAATTAAAAAATTCCTAGTCCTTATCATTCTTAGATTGCAGTGGGAAAGGACAAAAAAAGTTCATGTTAGTAGTATCCATAGGCCAGGTGCAGTAGCTCACACCTGTAATCCTAGCACTCTGGGAGGCAGAAACAGGTGACTAGCCTGAGTAAAAGCTAGACCCTGTCTCCACTAAAAATAGAAAAATTGAGGCAAGAGGATATCCTGACCCCGAGTTGGAGGTTGCTGTGAGCTATGATGCCACAGCACTCTACCCAGGGCAACAGCTTGAGATTCTGTCTCAAAAATAAATAAATAGTATGCATAATAATTATAATTTACCCGAATATGGTGTTTAGTGATAAGGAAACTGTATTCAGGTAAGGGAGAGGGGCATGGCTATGAGCACATGTGCTTTTTCACTGAAGTCCCAGCTGCATCCTGTTCCAGGTTCTAAGCATAATGCTTTCTGGTACTAGAGGGCTGGCCCAGGCTGACAGACGTGGAGCTGGGGCTGGCCTGGTTGTGGGCAGCTGTGCCATCATCTCAGGCACCTGTACAGAAGATTCAATTTAGGGAAAACCCCTACAGGGTGGGGTAGATCAGGCTTGAAATTCCACATTCTGAGAAGCCAAAACAAGCAGATTACTTGAGCCCAGGAATTCAAGACCAGCCTGAGCAAGAGTGAGACTCTATCTCTACTAAAAATAGAAAAGCTAGTGAGGCACTGTGGTGTGGATCTCTAACCCCAGCTACTGGAGAGGCTGAGGCAAGAGGATCACTTGAGCCCAAAAGTTTGAGGTTGCAGTGAGCTATGATGATGCCACTGCACTATATCTAGAACAACAGAGCAAGACTCTGCTTAGAAAAAAATAAATATACATATATATATATATCAGGGAAAATTGAACATGCCTAAAAGTCTTCCTGTTAAGGGTATGTTTGACTCTTCAGAATTCAAACCTTCATTGTAATATAGTGCACACAAATAGACTCAAAGCAAGTAACCAGCCTGAATGAATGTAAAAGCTAAAATTATAAAACATCTAGAAGAAAACATAGGAGAAATATTATTGTGACCTCGGGTTAGGCAAAGTTTTCTTACATACAAAACAATGCAAAAATGTAACAAACTCCTATACAATAAAGAACAATTGGGGGCGGCACCTGTGGCTCAGAGAGTAGGGCGCTGGCCCCATATACTGAGGGTGGTAGGTTCAAACCTGGCCCTGGCCAAACTGCAACAACAAAAAAAATAGCCAGGCGTTGTGCCAGGCACCTGTAGTCCCAGCTACTCAGGAGGCTGAGGCAAGAGAATTGCCTAAGGCCAAGAGCTGAAGGTTGCTGTGAGCTATGACGCCACAGCACTCTACCAAGGGCAACAAAGTAAGGCTCTGTCTCTTAAAAAAAAAAAAAAAAAAAAGAACATTGGGCCAGGTGGCACCTTTGGCTCAGTCAGTAGGGCACTGGCCCCACATACCGAGGGTAACAGGTTCAAACCTGGCCCCAGCCAAATTTCAACAAAAAATAACCGGGTATTGTGGTGGGTGCCTGTGGTCCCAGCTACTTGGGAGGCTGAGGTAAGATAATTGCCTGAGCCCAAGAGCTGGAAGTTGCTGTGAGCTGTGATGCCACAGCACTCTACCGAGGGCAACAAAGTGAGACTCTGTCTCCAAAAAAAAAAAAAAAAGGCCTTTACTTTTTTAAATTTTCTCTCTAAAAACAAGTATAGGGCCAGGCATGATAGTTTACACCTGTAATCCTAGCACTTGGGAGGCCAAGGTGGGTAAATTGCCTGAACTCACAGGTTCAAAATCAGCCTGAGCCAAAGCAAGACCTTGTCTCTAAAATAGCCAGGTGGTGGGAGGTGTCTGTAGTCCCAGCTACTTAGGAGGCAAGAGTATGGCTTGAGCCCAGGTGTTTGAGGTTGCTGTGAACTATGATGAAACAGCATTCTATCATGGGTGACAAAGTGAGACTCTGCCTCAAAAAAATAAAAAAATAAAAACAAGTCTGGGAGGCCAAGGTAGAAGGAGGCCATATTTCAACCAGCTTGAGCAAGAGCAAGACACCTGTCTCTATAAAAAATAGAAACAGGCCAGGCCAGGTAGCTCATACCTGTAATGCTAGCACTCTGGGAGGCTGAGGCAGGTGGGTTGCTAGAGCGAGTATGAGCCCAGCCTGAACAAAAAGCAAGACACTGTCTCTACTAAAAATAGAAAAAACTGAGGCAAGAGGATCGCATGAGTCCAAGAGCTGGAGGTTGCTGTGAGCTATGATGATGCCATGGCATTCTACCCAGGGTGATGGCTTGAGACTCTGTCTCAAAAAAAAAAAAAAGAATTCTTGCAATGGAGAAAAAGTATGACCACAAGAGGGCCACCTTTGACTCTCAAAATGCCTTGGTTTGCTGTTCTTGAGAAATACCCACAGAAGGCGAAGAATGTTACTCCCTCTCAGAGTTGGGGGGGAGATATGCATAATTTATGTATACAGAGGGTCAAAAAATGTATACACTTTTTAAGAAAGAAAACTGGATTCAAATTGTAATATTCAATATATAACAATGACAAAGGAACACAACTCACATTGAGCACCTCTTATAATTGCAGAAGTCAAACATGGCTTGAGAGTACAAATTTAATAGTTCTTTCCTTTCTTAAAATGTGTATACTTTTTTTTGCACACTCTGTGTACGTATACATTCATATACACACAGAGAGAACGATAAAGCAAAACAGACAAAAATAATTGGGAAAAGTGGGAGAAGGATGTTAGTTCTTGGTGCTATTCTTGCAACTTTTCTATAAGTTTGAAATTACATCAAGATAAAAAATTCCGGCTTGGCGCCTGCGGCTCAAGCGACTAAGGCACCAGCCACATACACCTAAGGTGGCGGGTTCGAATCCCCATCCCGGGCCCGCCAAACAACAATGATGGCTGCAACCAAAAAAAAAAAAAAAAAATGGCCAGGCGTTGTGGCGGGCGCCTGTGGTCCCAGCTACTTGGGAGGCTGAGGCAGGAGACTCGCTTGAGCCCAGGAGTTGGAGGTTGCTGTGAGCTGTGATGCCATGGCACTCTACCCAGGGGGATAGCTTGAGGCTCTGTCTCAAAAAAAAAAAAAGATAAAAAGTTCCCCAAAGATAGTTTCCCAATTTGGACAATAAAGCACACAGATAGTCATTCAATGATCAAAG